CCACCATCTTGCTAGGAATCGAAAAAAAAAGAGGACTTTTCGAAAGGAACAGGACTTCGGAATTCGTCCGGCACTTGAAATAATAGATCAGCAAGATTGTACGTAGGCGTCATGTGCAAGGTGATATTTTATGGTACAAACTGTCTTTCATCCTTTAGATGTAGTGAGGTGATATTTTGCGATGCAGTCTCAGTGTTTCATCCCTTAGCTGTAAACACAGACCGGACTATGCATGAAAACTCCACTCAATGAATATCTTCCCCTCCTCTCTCCCTCCCTTTTCCCCAAGTTGTAAAACTTTAAGGCTGCGCTACAAGCCGAGGAATGCATAACATCGTAGAGGAAAAAATGTATAGCAAAACTGACCTTATTTTTTTAACCCTTTACTGCCTGTGTATTCTTTTGGGTAAGCCAGTGCGCGTGACCGATACCTCTTCCCAAAACAATTCTTCACCAACATAAACAAAAAAGGAAATGAAACCTAATGTTATGGATATTATTGATCCAGATAAATCCAGTAGGAGGGATATCCATGCTGGCATCAGATTTGCGGTAATCCAAATTTATATTGGGTTACAAATTTGCGGCTAATTGCGGTAATCTGCGGTAAAAAACAAAATTTGCGGTAACCCAAATCGGTAACAAAACCCAGAATTATACTCCGTATTAATGGCGATTCAAAGCCGCATACAACTACGACAACTGCAGCAATGCAGTAGCAAAACAGAGATATTAATCATGATATATATAAAAATATAAAATCATTTTAAAAAAAAATTGGATGAATAGGAATGTTTCGGTTCATTAAGTCATGCTTGTACAACAAACACATCCATCCTTCGGTTTGGCGCTGTCGTCTAGCTAAATTTTACATCGTATTAACATTATCGCCATTAGCCCGTTTCTAAAAAACCCTTGAAAGTGAAGCCTACCGGCTGCTTTGCCAGGAGGTGGTTGCTGTTGGCATTTGCTACCATTCGGGCTACTTTCGCGTGTCTCTATCTGTCATAAACAGTGAATAAGGGGGAATTTTATTTTAATTAACACCGCTGCTTGCTCCAGTACCTCAAATCAGTACATCCAGGATATTTTAGAAAGCTGCCCCAATACTTTGTCCTATGCATAGGCGGATCCAGGGCGATTTCCTGGGGGGAAGGAGGCGACAGACGGTACCGAACACACATCTGTAGAGTAAAACAACTGCTACCTGAACTCCTCGGGGGAGGAAGGAGGCGAAAAGCCCCTCGTTCACTCCCCTCCCCCTGGCGCCGTCAATGGCCCTGTGGCCCCGATAAATATAAGTCAAAATTCACAAACCTCAGATGCACTTTCCGTGATACTTCCATCTTCAGTTTGCTCGATGCTCTCAGAAACACCGTTACCCGTAAGTTTCAGAACATCAGCGCACTTCACAT